AAAGCTGCTACCACAGCGAGATTTGATCGGTTGAAAGAGAGCGAGATCAAAACAGCCACGAAAGGTCTGCATATATGTGTCCAAGTGTTGTATTGAAGGAATCAAGTGATGAATAACTGTTTTCCAGTATGTTGTTGTTTTTTTTCATTGTTGATTTGTTTTTCACCGAAGCAGCTAATAAAGCGTGATGGAATACAATTTGCCTCTTTCGTGTAAGATTCTATAATAGAATGAAACAATAATGCCAGTTATAAATAAAGAAAAACTGAATTAATTACAAAACACTCTTTTTTTTCTATTAGATCTGAAAATGTTGTGTAATACTACAACCTGAAACAACAAATAGATTATCTCCTGTACAGGCCAACGCAAAGAACAAAAATGTAACAACAGCGGTGAAATGACCAAAGTAAACTAGACCTGGGCTTGTTGCAGGGATCTGAAGTTACTAAACATTTTGTGAGTGTTGCACTCACACTTCACTCAGGATCATATAATAATAAATATGTGCGTGATGAAAGTTGGGCAGCACGCTAACGTCTTTAGTCCACTCTGTATGCTCGTATGGGTCTCACCCTTTCACTCCTTTGATTTTTTTTTTCCTCGTACTTTTTTTTGGCTTTTCGTTAAGTCTGTCTTTGTACGGACCTGCTGTGTTCTCCGTCGTTTTTTACATAACTGTTTTTGGGGCAAATAAAATGAAAGTAGGGATTAAAACTGCAGAATTGATGATTACTGGTGCTGGAAATGCTAGTGTTTGATGCAGTGTCTTGATGTTGTTGCCACGTGTACCCACAATGCAATGCGCGAAAGTCACGTGGTCTGTCAATCTCATAGGTGAAACTTGAGTGACCTCAGACAAGCCAATTTAGAGAGCGTTCGGGCAATTGTGAATGGCCGATGGAAGCACCTAGCAACACTCGAAGACAAGAGGAGAAAAAGAAAGCAGTGTCCTTCAGATGATACCCGAATGAATATCACTGCTTCTGATCTGAAAAGAGGATATGATCACATTTTAGGCTGGAACTGGTTGGTAAAAGTACCATAAAAAAAGGATGAAAACAGTCAAACATTCAGAAAATGCAACATAGATTACTCTTATTGTAATCCAGCGTAAAATTATGAAACCTAACTGACTGGATTATATACTTTTTCAGAATGATAAATAATTAACGGGAACGACAACAACAAATGAGATTCTATTTTGAAAATGAGCTTTTAATGTTAAAAATAAAGGGCTGAAAACATCAAAGGTGGCATGCTGATGTGCATTTCATTAGTGTAATACTTTGCGCACCCCTCTTATTTCTTATTTCTGAAATGCCAAATCATCTTTTAATTTGGAGGTAGAAAAAGTCTGCAGAGATGCATGAAGTCTGCATCTTAAAAGTGTGAGAAATGAGTGCAGTGAAAGCAAGTGAAGCACCACATCAATTCACGATTAAGCTTCTTGACAAGACAATTAATCTGCGTGTTGAGGTTCAAATATTCTCCAGCAGGTGGCAGCAAAACACTATTTCTTTAGTAACTTGTGGATGCATCAGGGTATTTTTTTCAGGATTGGGGATCTGGGGTTCCTCTTTTAGTGTTTTTCATTATTTTTTAATCAATCATTAATAAAGAAGATGAGTTACATTAAGACATGTTAAAAATGTGTGTGTTACAACCTGTCATTGCTAATGTGTAAATGGATATACTGGATAGGCAGTCTTTGGAGACTTTTTAGGCCATGTAATCTAAGCTCATACAGTTTGGCTTATTTGGTTTTCTGACTTCAAATTCAAAGCTAATTTGTTCTTGTCCAACTTTAAAAAATTACTAAACTTTACTAAACTGAAATACATCAATTTCAACACACTCGAGCTGGTTGTCTTAGTTTTACTATAAACACTAAACACACTGCATCAAATTAAGTTCCACAATTAACCCCGACGCAAACCAAAGATTGGCTGTACATTTAAAAGAAATTACTGGCAGCTAGAGTTTGGAAGATTGATCTAAATATCAATAGTATTGATACCACTGCTGATAGCATTGATTCTTTGGATCTATCTTTTAAGTTCAGTATGTAGCCCACTGAATTGTGTTAAATAAACTTCAGGCTAAATTATGATCTTCTAAATCACTGAGATGCTCTCCAGCTTACGAGTTTTCTGCTATAGGGTGATGCTTCTGGGTTCCCCCGTAAGGTTTCCTAATGATCTATAAAGCCCACGTCGTTTTTTGGGCACCACTCAGACAGAATCTTTGTTATTTTAGCTTGTGGAGTGTTAGATATTTACAGAGCAATCAAAAGATGAAGCAGATGAACAGAGCAGATGATCATCTGGATCAAAAAGTTACAAAATGTCAACACTATTTAGTCCAAGCATGAACTTGTGACCATCAGGAGCACTGCAAGGAAAAAAGATGACACACTGTTTTTTTTTTTTTTCTTAGGATGAAAATATAAAACACATGTTCTCTTTATTTGCTGTATATAGATAGATGTACACCACTGGAGATTTGGATAAAAGCACACACGAAAAGCTCATGTATGTAGGGTCAACACATCTGGAGGTGAAAAAAAAAAAAAAAAAAAAAAAAAAAAAAATGGAAACGATGTCAAAATTACAAAGATAAAAAACTACCCAAATTCTATATGGTTTCTAACTGTAAATAGTTACATGTGTTGAACTCTGTCCCACATACCAACTGTCAGCAGTTGCTAATAACCTCTGTAATCTGTACACGGGATATTTTGTACAAAATATGAAATCTACCATTTAATAATAGTTATAACACAAAAGTACATTGTATGTACAATATTAGACAAAGCCATTTAGTATCAGACGCATACTAAAGGACACTTGCAAATATAACTCTTTTCAAAGAAACAAAAAGCTTATGTCAAATGAAGAGAGCTCCAAAGAAGCCAATATTAAAGCCATCTGAAGAAGAACAGCAGTCACCAATGGGAGCCAGCACTGCGCTTCAGCCGGGATGGAATCGCTTTCCTTTTTGTCGGGTTTCGGTGAAAGCCTTGAATGACTCTTGTTCTTCAAGACAAACATGGAGAGAACTGAACAGTATGGTTGCAGTACTATTTACAAATTTGCACATTCAGTTGAAAACACTGACAGAGAGGTTCTGCGAGCAAAGGAAGAATAAAACCATAACAAAACAAATTTTTAAAAAAAGAACTTGCAAGCATCCAGAAGCAAACACGTGCTCAAATAACGAGCCCTACAGGTTTTGTTTCGTGTTTTTAAACTGAAGAGGGCGTGCACCGTGTGGGCACGCAGGTGGAGGGCGGGACGAGAGAGGATCAGACTATGGGACAAATCAGAAAAAGTGGAACGGGAATAGAGGGGCCACAGGATGGAAGAAGAAAAGTTGGGATGGGAGGTGATTTTCCTCTCCTGTATAGGCTAGCTCTTAACAACAGGCACTATGGGGAGGGGACTCAAACACTCAAACAAGCGCACACACACACACATAGACACACACACACACACACACCAAGACAGACAGCATCACGGATTTCAAATGTTTACTAGTTTGTTTTAGTTTCAGTTGTGTTGCGAGTGTCTTTCAAGTGTTATCAGGAAGTGCTTCTTTGCTGAAGTGGTTTGGGGCAACCACGCCATCTCTGCTCTTTAGCCTTGAACTCAAAAAAACAAAACGGATCCAACTACGTAGCTTCAACAAGGCAGAAGTCCAACAATGGACCTGAATACGTTTTTTATGGAAACTACTGTTATAACCTTTGAAATCATCTGACATTTTATGTCATGCTGCTACTCTGTTCTCAGTTGAGTAAATACCCTCTCCGACTACAAAAGGCACTGTGAAAAGAAAGGCTTATGTTTGACCTCTTCAAACCAAACATGCCTCCTCTACGGAGCAATCTATTCTCTACCAATTGTTGTACAAATAAAAGGATCTTGCTTGAAAAGATTTGAAAAACAAAAAAGATAAAGTTCATTATCGGCACGGTTTCTGCCCCTGTTTAACTTCTCTCAACACACAGTAACATCGTGTTAATCCCAAACAACCTAGTACATCTCTTTAACCTCTCATAAGCCTTAAATGAATGATAGTGACTTGTACTGAATGCTAATAACCATGTTAAACACACAATGGCTGGACGTAAATAGGAAACTAAAAATAAATCGACACAATCCGCTCTCATGTAACCGGGCAGCCAAACATGCTTGGGCCGCGGACTCATCGCTGTGACCGATAAAAAAATGCTCTGAACATGTGGTAAACTTTAAGCCATAGATGCTTTGGGAGCCGTGCTAACTGACTGCCTTCAAAATTAAAAGATCTTTTTTTTTTAAAAACAGGAACTAAATGAGAAAGTTGGCACCGAACTAGGTTTCTACACGGGAATAATGATGTGCAGAAGAAAAACCTGGAACCTCAGTCGGGTTGGCCGTGTTTGATGAACAGCACTGAGTTAAAAGGGTTTTTTTTTTTCCCCAATCCTTAATACACACCCCTGCTGAATTCAGGAGTGGCCCAGTCCTGATGAATGGAGTGAATGAATGAATCCTAAAATAATAGCAAGAAACAGAACAGTTCTTCAGATAGGACGTGATTTTTTAAAAATCTTAGAAGAGCTCCTAATATAGCATGAAGGGAAAAATATAAACAGCTATCTAGTTTAAATTTTATGAGAAAAAACAGCCAATATTAAATATACAGAAAGAACTGACACAGTCTCACCCCACTGTAGATGGCCTCCATTGAAGTTATAGTTGGGGGCTCTTATTATTTGTACAAGCACCTGACGTTGATAAAGAAGAGACGAGAAGAAGACGGCTCATACACACACACACACACACACACACACACACACACACACACACACACACACACACACACACACCAGAACAGAACACCTGAGAAAAATGACCAGAAGGGGGCAGCACAGCACCCCAAAACACAAGTTGAGCGGACAGGGGGAGGAGAAAAAAAAAAAAAAAAAAAAAAAAAAAAAAAAAAAGAAGAAAAGGAGATTATGACAATTTCTTATTTGAAGTTCAGTATACGGCGGGTTGCTGTGGTCATGCAGGACATCCCAGCACCGCAAGCAAGAACCAGGTGAGGGGGTGGGGATCAGTAAGGACCGAGCACCGCTTGTCTCGCAAAGCCGGACCTGGCTTAGATGTGTGGCTTTAGACATTTTCTGTGTCAGGTGGAGCTGGGATCGTTCATTTCTGTGTTGCACTGGGCTGGACTGAGATACCACAGTTCTGTTTTGTTTTGGGGGGTTTTGTGCTGGCCCTCCGTGGGTTTGTGATTCCACTGTGGATGCTGCTGGTTTATGGTAGGTCTGGGATGGTCTCTTAATGGCCATCGTGTGGCGTCAACATTTCCTCTGCTCTTCGGTGCAACTCCAAAGCTGTGACTGTGGAGATGTCTTTGGGGAGCTCAGATTTCCTCCGCATCAACGGGCGTTCTCTGCGCTGGTCTTTTTGGATCTAGACACAGACACAAAGAGGGATCAGTAAAATCAGAACTAATGCATTTACAGCCCCACTTCATGAACCTAAGCTTCTGCACAGAGGCCCGTTTTACAGGCCGAACAAGATTTTAATTCCTGCAATTTGCTTTCCTTTCAAACCTTTTTCTCACTTACATGACAAAACTGATAAGCTATACAATTCAAAACTGTATAATAAAGAAAAATGTGATAGTGCAGCATGGACAAGTCTCTGGCAATATTGTCCTTTAACACTCTTTGTTCATCCCGTCTCTGTTGTTTGGGTTTGGAAGGCAGACAGGATGCTCAAGTGATTTATGTAATCTGTCTCCGTTTCAGCAGCTGGAATAACCATCTTTGCTCAGGAATTACTTGTGGGGCCAAACAGCTGAGTCATAAACCAAGTTCATTTGTGATTCTGAAGAAATATTTTTTTAACCAACAACCTGCAAATTCACTGTATGTGTGCATTTTATGACCACTGTTTCAAAACAATACAAATGTGAAGATGCTGTCTGCAACAGTCCTACACCCACATACTTTACACAAACAGGAGTGTGCAGACAGCTTAGAGGTTCTGTGCTGCTCGGTCGACAGCATTCTTCATTTTAGCATTTGACAGATATTAACAAAAAAAACAAAGTGATGACAGGACGCATTAGGAGCTGCATCGATCGCGCAGAATTGGAACATCCGCATTCGTCTTTGTGCTTCTGAAAAGCTGCTGGTGGCAGCGGCAGTTGCACAGTAACCACTACAAAGTCCCCTGATAGTGCTGCTGTTTTCACACGCGCCACACAGATATTTATGGGCCTGAACGTGGTTTTTATTTACAGCACAGCTATCGCTAAAACAGTACAGACACACCAAACTGGACGATTTAGGCAAAGTGACTAGCAAACGGCATGAGAAAAATGTCGCTAAGCCTGAGCTGCACAGTTCACAATTTTAAATGTCCTAAAATTGCTTTTGTATTTATGTCAACTAATGAGAGAGGCTCCACAGCATCCTGCAAAATGAGCTGTGATTAGTGGAATTCATTTCATATTATTAGCTTTTTCACTTCACACATTTTCTTCATTATTAACATTTCTTGTAGTTTTCTGCTGCTTTGAAGCAAAATGAAAGAAAAAAAAAAACGGACTGCTGGACTGTGGCTGTGTGGTTCCACTTAACATAACCACATTTATTTGTTTTCAAACAAAAATAAACCTCCATTCCTGGCGCCAAAGTCAGTATCAATAAATAAATTAAAGTGTCCAGATTTCTGCTTTTTATGACCACGTATATGATTTCATTAAGACTGAAATGTAAACAGGTCTCATATTAAAGCGATATTCAGCAAAGCTTGTGCACATTTCAGTGAGAACGTGTGGTACCCCTCAGATATAGGCATGCATATTAAATGTTACACACACTGACCTGTGTGGCTTCCTCAACTACTGCTTTCTTTAGCATGTTGACATCGTCTAGCAGTGGCCCATCTGTCTCCATGTCCATCGGACTCCCTGATCCTATTGAGTCCACATACACGACAAACTGCAGCACAGGAAGAGAAAGAAAAGTTAACCACAAAGAATCGCATTATCCAATATACAGGTTTGTGAGAGGTGCTAGCTTTAAGCAGAACTTTTCTCAATGACTTTAATCCTCAGCTTTTGGACATACATTTCCCCACAATCCATCCTGTAACTTTCCATCTGTTGCTTCCACACATACACAAAAGAAAAAAAGAAGAGAAGAAAAACTAGAAACTCTTTTTCCTTTTTTCCCCTCAGTTGGAGTGTTTGTCAAAACACCAACTGATGTTCATCACCAAAACATCAAACCCTGCTTGATTCGCACTGAGATACCCTGCAAACCACTGAGAGGGTTGCAGCACTGTGAGAATTGCTAGGTTACTATTTATTTGCTCACCTGTGGGTTTGCCTTTGCTAGATTCTCAATCTTCACCCATGCTTCTTCTCTCTCTTTCCATTTGGCTTTCTCTCTGACACACACAAACACACACAGAGTCCTAAGAGACTTCTTCAAAACAGAGAAGATTTGCTGAAAGATAAACTCATGTTAAAAAAAAAAAAGTTATATACCCAAACTCTTTCAAGTTAAGAGATTGTGGTTTTAGTTTGTATCTACTTAGTCATCTTTTCCACTTCTAATGATGTTTAAACAATGTTTTCCATGACGTTTCTAACACTGTAATGAGAACAAGGAAACTGTAGCTTGCGCTGTATAAATGGATGTGATGTCTCCCTGCATTACTTACTTGCTTTTTTCTGCCCTGAACTGCTGGGTGCAGTCATCAAACAGTTTCTGGTTCATCTCCATAAAGAGCTTCAGAGCATTGTAAATCAACCCATGAATCGTCCTACAGACACAAAAAGGTTACCACAGGTCACTTGCTTTGCTTACGTACTATCCTCATACACTTCATCATAAAGATAAACAGATAAATGGAGGGGGTGGGGGGGAGCCTCACTTGTTCCAGTGGGTTTTGGAATTGCGGTAAAGGGCCGGGAACATGATGGGGAGGATCTTGGCAGCGTTGTCGCTGATCAGGCTCATGATATACTCATTATTCCAGTAGTACAGCGCTCGCTCTGCTACCTGACAACACAGTTTTTCACAGGGTTACGTGCGTACACAGACAAACAGAATGCACACTGTACGATTAACTAAAACACGCATCAAAATAAACAGGGATGTGGTTCAGACCTGAAAGTGCGGGCTTGACACACATTTGGCCAGCTGTCTGAAGAGGGGTTCCATGACTTTGACGAACTCCGAAGGCTCAATGACATCCAGTATCTCCTCCAGTTCGTTGAGGAACATAACTTCTTTTGGACTGTGGGTCTTTGGCCAATACTTTAACAATGCCATTACCGTCTACGCACACAGACAGGATACCAGGCTTATTAAAGAGGAAGCAGGAATGTTTGGACAGCCGATTTTGGTCAGCTATTAATCTGCTGATGGTGGATTACATGAGCTTACATTACAAAAACTATCAGTAGAAGCAGAAACAGTAGTCAACATATTCATAAAGTAGTTTAGTTGATCTCAGGGCCTTAATGCAAGCACACAAAATCCAAAACACCTTCCAGCAGGTTTGAGAGGACTTGTGAGCGCGTTTATGTTTGCTCCGACCTTACCCACCATAAAACAAACAGAATACTGTCTTGAGGAGTTTGAATGACGTATGTCTGAAAAGAGCTTGAAGGTCAATCGATAATAAAAAATTAAAAAAAGCCAAAAAATCAATATCAAAATAAATAAATCTTACCGGTTCTGTAAGGGTGCTATCCTTCTCTAAGAACTGTACCACACAGTAGGCCAGCTGGGAAATAAAAGGGAAAAACAGGAAACGGCATTTGTTTTCATTTTGACAAAATCAGAAGTATCATAAATATTATTGGGAGAGAGATTGCACTCAACAAACTACAGAATCTACATAATAAAGTAACATCAAAGATGGCGGCTGTCCTAAATGTTCTAATCAGGCAAAAAAATGTTGCTGCATTGGCACATGAGCACAGATGTCAGTTTTTGCATGTGTACGCTATTTTTAAACATTAGTTAGGGGTAAAAGGACCAGATTGTTAAGTTGAAATGTGCATTTTTATCTGGTGAACATTGAGAGTTAAAGTTGTGACTAACTCCACATTTTTTATCATTGGATACACGCTTCACTGACAAAATAACTGCTTTGAGGCATTACCTGCATGTCTGCCAAGTGAAAAGACTTTGCTCGAGACATACTTTTGTTACAGCGTTTTGCTTATAGCAGAGGAAGGCAGAGCAAGGCATAAGAAAATTCCTACCTGTGGGTGATACACACTAAGGGACTTGACTTTGTGCAAAGGCAGGAGGACTTTCAGCAGGAATATCTTGTGCTCTTCTTTCAAAGGTAATGCAAATCCATTGATTATGCTGTGAGAAAGACCGTTATTAGAGAAGAAATTACTCCAGTTTACAATAATTCGGCATCTAAATATTAATAAAAGTCTTGAGCCACCACTAATGCTCTTATACATTTCTTCCAAGGAGTCAGCCTGTCATTTTTGAAATGGTCTTGAACAATAGTTCTGCAGGATTTCTGAAGCTCTTTCAAAGACTTTCTTTGGACACTGTTCTTTCACTCATTTTCAGTCCTTGTACTTGAACATTATCAGAGAAATTTTTTTTCAGCACAGACCTACGAACACAAAATAATCTCTCAACTCATGGGATGAACCAGTAATATGTCCATACATAGCAACTTTGCAAATACCATGTGGCCTTTCAGGTGACCCATTATCTGTTTACTGAAGCCTCATTAGAAATGTTCTAATGAAAATGACAAATCACACAAGGACTGGACTAAAATCAGTGGCAACAAGTCTTATGGAGTGATGGCACCGAAATCTGTATCCTCCACAATACAACTCCATCTGGAAAGCATCTGATTGCCAACAGCTTCATTTTTCAATTGCATCCAGAGAAGTGCTTTGAATGTCCTTCAAGAAGCCCAGAGAACTATTTCTGAAGACAACTCAAAGAAATCACAAGAAAGCGCAGGCTGTGTTGAAGGATAAAGGTGGCGTTACTAAATATTGACTCTCAAACTTACTAAAACTATGCAAACTCACTTTTTGCCTCATATACTCTATTTCTACTTAAATTTGCAAATGGTATAAATCACTGCACCCTTTAGCCATTATCCTAGCAAACTACAAAGAAAAAAAGAGGTAGCTCAACACTTTTGCACATACTGTGTGTGTGTGTGTACGTACACACACATATATATACACACATATACACACACAGGGGTGTACATAAGTGGTCCGCAGGTGCACTCTCGCTATCAAAATAAAAGACGCGCACCAGATCAGAAGTTGCAACGCACGTTTGCGTGCATAAGATTTTCTGGAGGAGGACAGACATTTGTTTAGAACTCTTAAAGACGTCGAAGAAGCTCCTTTAAGCAATTACTTTGGTGTTCCTTCACCTCCAAAGAAATGTCAGAGGGAGTCCGCAAAAGAAGCGCATATTCTCGGAGAAGTGGTTGGAGGAGGTGAGTTGGCTTCAAACAAATGATGAACGCACAGAGATGTGGTGCAGAATATGCCATGAAAATCCCACTCTAGTGGACCAAAACAGTGCCTTTAATATGTATGCAAACGCATGTTGAAACTTCTTATCTGGTGCGCATCTTTTATTTTGATAGCAAATGCGCACCTGCGGACCACTTGTGTACGTGTATGCACACACACACACACACACACACACACACACACACACACACACACACACACACACACACACACACACCAAACCTATATTTTGAGCCCTATACTGCGAACAGCAGCTGCTTTAACAAATCTAAAAGTATCTTACCTGCCTAGTATTTCCAGTAGTTCTGCAATTCCATTATGATGCTCAGTCTCATAAATGAACCTGAAAAAGGGCAAACACACACAAGTTAGCAATAATGTTCCTTTAACCCTCAGGGTCTGTTAAAAATCACCACCCTTTCAGCTTGTTAGTGGCCACAAGTGGCCAGTATAGAGCCCTGAGGGTTAAAGAAAACCAAAAAAAAACCAAAAAAAAAAAACCCATAAACAAAACAAGCACCATTAATGTAGCTATGGAAGACACACACTCACCTATAAAATATGTTATTAATCTGTTTTCTAATGTATGCTCGAAGGCCCAGGAACTTCCCATAGATGCGATGGAGAGTGGTCTTTAAAAAATCTCTTTCTCTGGGGTCTTCACTGTCAAAAAGTTCTAAAAGCTGAAGAAACACACACACACACACACACACACACACACACACACACACACACACACACACACACACACACACACACACACACACACACACACACACACACACACACACAAAAGAAGGTTACTGGGACAATAAAATTAAACGTAACCAAGTACTACATACAATGCTCTTAAGTGGGCATGTTACGGTTTTTATTGTTTTGTCACATTGATACTATTACAGAAATGCAGAAATGCATGCTCATACTAAACATGGCCAAAGCTTCAAACAATGATTTCAGTGTATGTGCAACTAATCTGAAAAAGCCAAAACTTCAGGCCTTAGGCTGCTTTAGTCACTAAACTTCAGACAAACATTGGCCTCAAATGACGTGTAGGAGAGCAGATATCCTCAATATGTTCTTTCCAGGCATCTGTGCGCACAGTCAAAGCTGTACACGCAGATGCCTCACCCACATGCATAAAGGCAGAGGAGCTAAAACAGCTTGTTTTAGACAGTGCACGAACAGAGGGGCTGGACCAAGCACTGGTATGCGATAAACAAGGATTATTTTGAACTATCAATCATGCAAAGCTTGTCTAGTTAAGAATAAAAATATCAAGGTGGAAATGAGCATCATAGCTCCTCTTTACAGAGAAAGAAGCTGTGCTCTAGCAACATGCTCACCTGCAATACAAACCTCTGGTCAATATACTTTTTGGCTATGTTTGGTTGAAAGTCCGGTGACTCTAAGAACCGCAGGAAGAACTCGTAGACGAGCTGTGGAAGAGGGGCAAAGACTTTAAAACAACAGAAATAGGTGAACAGGCTCTTTCTGACTAAACCATGTATGTGGGTGTGATGCATGTACCTGTAGATGCGGCCACGCAGCTTCTAGAGTGGGTTCATCTTCCTCTGGGTCAAACTCTGCACCCGTGGGGTTGGATGACGGCGGCAATGCCCTAAACATATTCACAGCAAACTGGGAAACAAAAACAGAGGACAGACAATCGGACATGCCAGATAAATATAAACTTGAAAAAGACATTTCCCCCACAGAAATCCAAACCGCTCAAGGAAGCGGTGGCCTCTGCCCTTTTTACTTGCATAAAAACACAATATTTAAAACATCACCATTTCTTTGTTTACGTAGGCTGCCAGTAACCTGTAGTAACAAATAGATCAAATCCATTGGACCATGTACTGTCCAAACTGCCTTTAAAAGACAAGTAAAATATTTCTATCAGCATAAACGTGTTTAAATGTTGCAAAATCCACTTTTTGCCATTTTTTAAAAATTGTCTAGATCCACAAATTATGAGTTGACTACATCCTCTCCTTCCTTTTCCTTCTTGAGCCCTTCGAGGTTAAAACCAACTGAGACGTCAAAACCTGATAAGCACCGCCCCCGGCTGTGAAGGAGACCTGCCTTATTAAATTCAGTATGAGCAGCTGCTGTGGCTAATGTTACCTTTAGGTTTGAGTGTACTCCTACGAGCCACAGTTATGTCAAAATTGGAATGCTGTAATGTAATGAAAATCAGATATTATGAAAAGCAATAAACAAGAACAGAGTGTAGGTTACTGTGTTTCATGTTGCTTTTTAATCAGCCTTTAGATTTGTTTGCTTCTCTCTGTTCTCTGAGCTCGTATCTTCCTCTTTTTAATATTTCATACATTTAACTACGATGAATCTGTGTATCTGTGGACTGACTGTGCTTTGAAATGTATCCATTTTTCATGCTACATCCACAGCACATATTAGGTATACTAGGCAAAACAAGGCAGTGAGCGTTGATTTGGGGATTGGTGTATATTCGTTTCTTCAGATTAAGAGCAGTGCTGTGAAACTGATTCATCACCAAAAATGTGCAATATGGATAAGTTAATATCTGCAAAATACAGCAGACTCTGTAAGGGGCAAAGACGTTAAAATGTTGTGGAAAGAAAGACCAGTGAAGTATTTTGAGATTACATTTTAAATACACATTGTGCAAACATATCAGACTTAAACTGTTTTTTAACAAGTTCAGTGTAATACATCAACTTTGAGGTATTGTTTGTATTAAAGAATTAATAAAAAGGTGGTAGGTGAGTGGATATCAACAGTCTCTTGCGCTAGTTGTCCATACTGGCCTATTTCTGTGACTGTACAGACCCCAGACTGTGAAGAATCTATTTTGCCTCTGAGACGGCGCATTCAGAACTCCTTTGGGATTCCAGTCGATCAGAGGTCAAAACACTCATTCACCATCAGGTTATTATTCCAAGCAGAAATCACTCCTTACTTTCAACAAATAGATCAGGACAACGAAACCACTGTTACAGTGCCATGTAGTGCAAATAATGCCTGTTTAAATAATGATGCTTGAACACTGAGATGTCAAAAATGCTCTGAAATACAGAAACCTTACGGAAGTAAATAATGTGCAAAGTTTTAGCATCAGAATACACTTTATTACCATAAAGGAAAATGTCGTGTCACTCTTTACTTACTTTGATCATAAAAGCCATCAGTGGACTTCAAAGAGCCCTTGTCTTTAAGGGGGTACGGGGACAGGCGCTGCCAGGAGTAAGAGTATATTTTTATGCTGATTTGACAGCTCAGTTGCATTTTCTGCCGCATTGATCAAATAAAGCCCAGGCAAAGGAGGACGGGGGGAAATTTGCACCTTGATCATCTGCAGTTTACCATGTGGCATTGAGGCCGGCCTTTGATTAACATCAAAGGCTTTTTAATTTGGCTTGGGAAAGCAAATCTGGCACCAGGAACACATTGAGACCACGACCTAAGAGGAACACCTCTCCAATCTACAGCAGGAGCTCCAACACAGCTGCACTGGCAACACCCTGATTAAACGAGCAGTTTTCAGACCTACACCACTGAGGGGTACAAACAATTTAGGGTGTGCAATACACGAACAATCTTTAGACGAATTCAAACAAGAGACATGCTGAAGAAAAACAAACAGATCACCTGGTTGCATACGAATTATTTAAATGATCTTAAAAGATTTGTGGCAAAAAAAAAAAAAACTACCAAAATAAAAACTAAAATGGGTCAAGTGAAAACCACAAAATGTTCGTTCCATGCTGCGAAAATGAAACTGAAGAAAACAAATCAGCTTCATCACAAACATGAAAAAAAGAAAGAAAAGGGAATCTACCGGGTGAGATGGCTCTCCGAGGCCATGTGGCTTCCACTGAGCCTTTTTTCACAATTACAACTTACACAATTTTACAGTAGGAGAAGTGACACGTGACATCTCGCTAACACGAAATAAAGCAATTATAAAGGAACAATGCAGAGTTTGTGTAAGTGAATATTTTTAGACCTAAACTACTAAAACATTCCCCAAACCATATTACACATTGCATATTCTATGGGATAAAAAGCTTTATGAGAAATATCATCAGCTATAGAACCACAGCACTAGTACATCACAGGACATTACAGATTTTAATGTTCTATTCTAAATCATTTAAAGCTTTCATTCATGGAAACACTGGTGGCAGAGTTTCCTCACACTTAAACCTGACTTGGGTGGGAGTCCCATGCATCTTGGCAACATACTTTGCATTTTCTTCTAATTTTTTCCTCCATCTCCGACAATGATGTGACCTATTTACAACTGGAAAATTCCCTTACTCTTATTTTGAAAGTTAAGTTGACATAAGATGTAGCCTTTCGAGACAGAAAGTCCACACATACTTTTGCAATATGAGTAACCAAATCGCTTTTTATGCAAGGCTTTACTTTTTTCCAGGAGTTGAGTGATACAAAGTACAAAGATGGCTAACTAAGTTTAGTTAATTATGTTCACTTATACTCTCTACTTATTAAACATTTGCCAGGTCAAAATAAAATAATAAAATAAAAACAACTGGTCCAAGCTTCTCATTTCCACTGTTTACTGTAACACTGACCATGTGAACCACTTCTGGGTAGATCGGTTCGGTGATGACGTTCCTGTTGTGGGTGATGTACTCCACCATCTCGCTCAGCGCGGCTCGTTTCACCTCCTTCCATTTCAGGTCACTCAGTGGGTCTGAGACAAAATCGAAGAGAACGCAGCACTGACGCAACTTCTGGATAAACAGCTTCTCCTGCTCTGCAGGGGGAACATCTGTGAAACAGAGAGAAGAAAGGCTGGAATTAAATTCAAATTCTCTTCACAAAGCAAAATGTCAATGATTTTTAACATTAGAGCAGCAATGATACCGACAGGCTGACTTACTTTTAAATGTTTTGCTAAGCAATCTCTTCATTTTACAACCATATTTTATTTTGCTGTGATCCATCACAAAGGACTTATAATGTTATAGACTGCAAGGCATGTCTCTGAATAACTTTAGGTTTACTGAGCTGTGCTGTGCTTGTTTGAGACAGAACGGTTGCAGCTTTTGTGTGTGCGTTTTCATTTATTTGATAGTTCAGGAAATGCTGGATTTCCTACTGAAAACTCTTTAATAAAAACACCAGATACACATATTTTGTGCTTCTCCAGAGGAAAGAACATTTCGACTTGCTGGCTTTATTCTGGGCACGACTGCATTGTTTCTACAGACTTCACTGGAACTGTGAATTTGTGCACAGCAGCTCAGCTGTTTGCTTGGAGATAAGCATTTTGGTTGATAAAGCAGAATATATCCGGGTGGCACGTCACATGATAGATAATGAAGTTACCAGTGCCCCATGCATCAACTGTGCACAGCAGCTCTCTCTGTGCTGCCAGTGTACCCGGTGATGAAAGCCTGCTGACAGCCAAATAACAAATCACAGCTGCTTAAAGCAATAACCAATCACAGAGTAGAGCAGCCCTGCAGCTGACGTATCCGTGCGCCAACTGTTGTGAAATCCTTTGGTAAAAAATGAAAACTGTTCATCCAAATGATTTCAAACTCAACTCTGCACACACATACACACGTTCCTCTAGTTATTAAAGCAAAAAGCAACCAATTCAACTTAGTGAGGTAATGACTGCTATGTTATCGCCACATCAATGATGCACCCTCTGGGAATGTGGGGCCACACCTACCTGTGTATCATTATTAGCTTGCAATTAAAAAAATTACATGTTTTTGCAGCCAATGAATTTTGCACAATGAGCTAACCTCCAATCAGTGTCAGTTTAAATGATTTATAACCACTTGACAGCTTCCTTAAAGATATGAACGATTAGAGAAAAGTATGAAAACATTTTGTCTGCAATTAAGTAATTAAGTGACAATAACAAAGCTTCTAAACAGAATTATTATATATTAAAATAGATCATAATTTCAATCAACTTTCTGGACTGCTCAGAGGGAACCTGAACAGAGCTTGAAGGGTTTGCACACTCCATACATCATAAGGTGTGCAACAGTGCAAGGTATGAAAGTACGGACGTTTTTATAAACAAGACCTACTCTAAATCTACAGGTAACCATTTTAGCAATTTTAGAAATAGCTATAATGTGTGCTCTCTCCCTTTATCAGCACTCAGGAAGAAGAGCTCTGAATAAAGTGCAACTTACTTTCACCTTTTTTTGACAAAAGTAGAAAGGACGCCATTACTACAAGCAGCCTATATAGCACCAAATAACCCCAGCATTATGCACTCTACTGTGATGGGGCCTTCACTAGGACACAGCTATTTCCCTTTTCTTTACAATGATCAAAACTGTCAGTAGCAGCCTGTAATAAATGACACGAGTCACAGAAAGGAAGCTTCTCCTCTGAATTAGCCTGAGCTCATCCGATTCCCAAGCTCCAGAAAATACCATGAAACCAAGAGAAGTGGATTGGTGCTCATTCATTTTCATCCAACACGGGGATTAGTGTCTTAAAACAGAATGCCACCTTATAAAACCTACCTATGGGGCAGCATTAATCTCTTCATCACAGTCTGTGATTCTTGAGTCTTTCTTTTCTCCCCATTAACAATCTGCATGTGTACCCTACATCACCATGGTGACTGCAGGCAGAGACAGGACTTTGGACCAGGGGGTGACCACTGCTAATCAGAGACGCATGTCTGCTGCTTCTACACTGGAATCAAGAGACCGCTGAATTGCTGATCACATCAGCTATGGCTGAAAAAAGTGTCAGCCAAAGGCATCATGCAAAACATGAATCATGGAGTAAAATAAGTCAGTCAGCACTCCCTGCTACACTCAGTAATCTTACAGATACATTTATAAGCGTCCAGTGGCTTTCTTGAACACTTTGGAATAAAGAGTTAAAACAGCACAGTAATCTGTAATTATATATCTACAGTATTTTCTGTGCAGACCCTGCTTTGCATAAGTTGATACCAGACAAAATGTTAACAGCTGGCACCAATAAAATAGGTCAATTCTAAAAGATTCAGTAATGGAGGCAATGCTCACAGACTAGAACCTCAAATTGCGACTGACAGCACACCTCCACATTAGTCACAGAGGAAACGTTAGCATTTAAAACAGCATGAAACAAAGCTGTCCTATGAGTTCTTTTAGGTAGACTACCCTTTTGAATCAATAATGTATTTGCTTTATAATTCCCCAACACTGTTACAGTGTCAAAGCTTTGTGGTGAAGCTTCCTTACTTTACTGTTGCTTCCTTTCTTATCTAATAGCTCTTTGTTGGCTCTTGTTTTACATTTGTCTGTTTTTATACAAATAGTTATACATGCCATAAGATATTTGGAAAAAACTGGAAGATTTTTGAATTTATATTTAGAAGACTAACTGCCATATTCAAACTACTATCCGCAAACAGGATCCAATTGAGCACAGTAAAAGGTCAAACATCAGCCAAGCTCTTGAGCTTTTGCCACAACATCCATTTTGTATTTCTGGAGCAAGTTTACATAAGAGTGTCTTCCTTTCCAGTGAGGTGCACTAACTGTGAAAGTAAAACTCACGACCACTTTTTGTGTTCATGACTAATATTCAGCTTGCTTCTGCTTAAGTGCGTACAGTGTGTTTAAAAATATATATATATTAAGCCTTGTTTGGACAGTGAGCACAAATACTTGTCAAAATGATGAACAATCCCCTCTAAATGCATGCAAGTTAATAAAAATATTTATAAGTGTTAAGTTAATATAGTAGCATCTGTTTTACTAGGAAGTCTCAAAATTTTATCCTTAACTCTTTAACGCTTTAAATCCTACAAGGACCCTTTAAGGTCTTTTCTGAATTGAGCTGCTTATAGAACAAAATGACTGGATGTGTAGATTCGTGAGGGTGGTCTCTGCTTATTCAGCTACCCTTTGAAAAACCCAGAAACTATCATAATGGTCATCAAACAACATCTTTACTGATAAACACTGAGGTGTCAAAACTTGTCATTAAGGGTAGAGGGGAGGTGGTCAAATGTGGTGTTTATAGCGAAAAGAGTAAGATGAATACAGAAAAACGGTTGCTGAGTTATTTGAGGCTTGGTACACCTGCATCAAGTTTTGTTCCTATTACTGTTACAGGCCGACTCATGAGCACCTCGACTCATCAGCCTCTGAGTGCTGAGAGGTCTACCAGCTCCTGTTACACAACAGCAGTAGGGTTTCTGAACAGACCTAAAATATTAAGAGACCTGCTGTGCAACTGCAGACTTCACACACGAGCGTCTCTGCATGGATCAGTGAATAACCTTTACTCATCTAAAAGCTCCAGCATGCATACAGGAAGCCAGCCACGAACACAAATTGCTTCTAAGCACAACTCTTGACTCAGACATTCTGTACTACGGAATATGAAAATAACTGATTAATAAAGTGTCCCTAATGGCAAATGTGGTGCGCTTACCATCTGTCCCTTCAGACACAGGATATCCGAAGGAGGGACCGGTGGCTTTCTGCCATAACTTGCTGTAATTATCACTATGCATATAAATGTCACGAGACCATGTTAACAGCCACATAAGCAACACCATGATACTGACATCACTGTGACAGCAGCAAGCATATGAAATAATTGGCTGCATGTTAAACACACACTGCCACTTCATCTAGAGACAGCTTCCAGCTTCCTTAAGTTTGTCCGAATCAACGTCAACTCAAAAAGAACACTGGAGCTACAACAACATCAAACAACCTTTCTACTTATGTTAGTCACATTGCAACAATACAATACAGACATATACAAACTAACAACAAGCTTTGACCTCACTTTCTATGACATCAATAGTGTTGATGGGGGAGGGGAGACTCAAAACTACCAATCTTACACCCCCCCTAAACTAAAGCTAAGCTTTGCAATGTCTTAGCAGAACCCTTCCTTGCTGACATACAAACACAATCACCTCCTTTCTCTTTCAAAAACCCTCGTGCAAACAACACTAAAAAAAAACTCTTAAACTCGCCTCCACAAAAGTAATGATACATATAATATCAAGCTTTTTTTTTTTTCTTTTCTTTTTTTTTTTAAATCACCAGCTGTGGCTGCTTAACACTCAAGCCCACCTCCTCTTTAAACAGACCAGTACACAGCAGCAGATTTCCTATTCTCACCTCTAAAATGCATGAGGGCCACAGGCTGGAAAGGCCCATTGGCGCTCGGTCCATCCAGAACCATCCCGCCGGCAGCTCTAGTACATGCCAACATCAGTGAGCTGAGGCAGGAAACAGGAGAGAAGAGGGTAGCCCAGGCTAAGGCGAGGAGCCAGCCTCCATTTTAGCACGAACACTGAGCAGAAAATGAAGCTCCCCTGCTGCTGGAGGGAACCAGCTAGTTAGTGATGTCATCCCACACAGAAGCAACCTGGTTGGTTAGCTGCAATCACATGGGCGGGCTGTCAGAATAAATAAACATGAGGAAAGAGACTGGCTATTGGAGTGGGGAGAAAAGGGGTGGGCCAGTTACTGTGATTGGGCCAAAAGAACCTACATCTGTCAAGGAGTTTTTAAAGCACAAACAACTCGCCTGAATTCCATTTAACCGGTTCTGAAATAACCACAAATGGAATAATAATACCATGGAATACAAATAACTGTACAACATGTAGGTTGCTTGTAAGAAGCAGAGGACAAAGGAAACCATTTATTTCTCTTTTAGTCTTTAACTCCCAACAACACCCACATGGAAAAGAAATAAGAAAAACTTATAAAAGACTTGCATCAGCTTTAGCTTGCTTAATCATATAACGCTTATATGATATACTCA